AGAATTGGCATTAGAAATACCATTTCCACCATCGTCCCCAGCACCTGGGACTCTGAGTCTTCATTAAGCTGAGCTCAACACTGTGTCCCACCACAATACAACATCCAGCAGGAGATAGGGCCCATCCTGACACTTTTGAAGGCCTAGGATCTATGAGTCCCTTGGGTCAGAAAATGGCAGAGTGCCAATGACAGTGGTGTGACAAGGAAGGTCCCAGAATTTTTATGCATGTGGGATTAGATGGATTAGCTTGAGATTAACTCATTTCATCTTGAATCAGTAAGATGGAAAACACAGTTTCCCGCACATTTCTCTCTTTCCTTCCCTTCATATTTTATACATACAAAATCAAATTTTACCTACTGATCTTCAACTTGCATTTTTAAAAAACTGATATATCTTTGACATCACTGTGTAAAAATCTACTTTACAGTTAAAAAATGGCTGCTTAGTATCCATATATTTTGACTGGTCCCCTAATAATAGACCTCTAGTTTCATCTTTGTCAGCCTCTCTTTCTACTTTTTTTCTTCTCCCCCTTGGCTATTACTAAGATTTTGACAGATTTGTACATGCACATAGCATGCTTTCGTTGTTCCCCCACATCACCTGCTTTGTCCCACTCTACCCCCTAGTTTCACATTTTTGCAAGGTTTCAATGCATACAAAATGCATTTCGGTCCTATTTGTCCCTCCTATTACTAGCTTCTCCTCCTTATTCCCTTTCTCTTGTTTAATAAATTTCCCTTTTACTTTCTTGTCTTTTTTTAAAGATTATACTTATTAGGGAAATATCTATACTTGGCTTTCTGAGTCTAGCTTACTTCCCTCAACATGGTGATCTCTAGATTCATCTATTTTTTTGTGCAAATGACAAAATTTTGTTCTTTCTTATGGCTGAATAATACTATATATGTACTACATTTTTTATCAATTCATCTATTGATGGGCATTTAGGGTGGTTCTATATCTTGGTTATTGTACATTGTGCCACAATAAACCAGTATTCAGGTATCTCTATGATATGTTGATGTTAAATCCTTCAGATATATAGCAAAGATTGGCTTGGCTGAATCAAATGGTAGCTCTATTTTTAGTTTTTTGAGGAATTTCCATACTGATTTCCTTAGTAGCTATACTAATTTACATTCCTACCAGCATGTAGAAAGGTTCCTTTTTCCACCTTCATTGACTATCTTTTTATGTAAGTTTTTGTACTTTTGTTTGAAGTAAATCTAACTTTTAGAGGCCAAATTACTGAACCAAAAGTTATATACAGTAAAAACAAATGTAAATATGGACAAGTTGTCCTATAAAATATTTGTATTCACTGGCATTCTCATTAATTCATATTTACCTGCCTTCTTTCTAATGTTAGATATTACATTGTCTTTATATTTTGTCTGTATCTATTTAGTAATGTGTTTAGTAATGTAATTAAAATATTTATAAGTAGAGATTATTTTCTATTCACTAAATTCTTACTAAGCTCCCATGACATGTCTAGTTGATTAGAATGAATTAGATTAAAAATAATATCATTTGGTACCACAGAATGTGGCAGAGAAAATGTAAATATGCAACATTTTAACATTAAAAACTTTCCCTTGGCACAACTAGTTTTGAGTGATGCTGGCTCCTGCTGAATAGGATGAAGAAGCTACAAAAACATACTCACAGATAGTTGAATAAACTGAGTTATTTAATTTAAACATTTTCTAATTTTTTTTTAGTTATTCAATAAGTTAGCTTCAGTTATTAGTATTTTCCACTTGAAAACTGGACAGTATCAGCCAGATATCAATTTCAATTTTGGCATAATTAATATTGATCGGTTCTCTCTGGAAGTATAGTAATTAAAAATATGGATCATCCACCTCCTGCCTCACAAGCATAAATTCCATCCCCGGTACCAAAAAAAAAAGGCTCAGTGACTCCTTTTTTTTTTTTTTTTGTACTGGGGATCAAACTCAGGACTTCGCCCTTGCCAGGCAGGCACTGTGTCAATGAGTTACATGCCTGGCCCTCAGTGACTTCTTAATGTGATAGAAAATCTCGAGGCTAGCCTTAAGAATGACAGTGAACCTCCTCATTTGCTATGGGAAAAGGCTGCTATGACAGGTTTGCTCTAAAGTTAAATAAGGAACTGTGATATAGTTATCCATTATGATGTAATTTTACATCTGTCTAGAGGCAATTTCAACTCTAAGTCTCTGTTAAAATACAGATTGTAAAAAAGCTTATAACATTAGGTTTATTCTATGCATTTATGTCTTGGTCCATGGACAAGCCAATGATACATGGAAACAAAAAAAGCTACAAAAACTATGATGTTCCAAAACATTTCCTGGAAGTGTAAAAAGTAAGTTGAAAAGTAAAAGTGCTCCATACTCAACCAAACACTCGTGAAAGAAGTTTCCTTGGTGAAAGAACTCAAGAGTCTTTAATGTACCATTGTTACAGGAATCTTGTTAAATGAGTTTCCCCAACTCATTTAACTTGGTACCTCACTTCTTGCTATGAAGTTATTTTTCAGCTATCCACTGTCCATTTTTCTTACAGTGCTTCGATCAGGGGTCCTACACTAGCCTACCTCACCTACCTGACGGACAGGCTGAGGTGCCAAGTTAGGACAACTGCAAACTGGAATCTGAATAGGGAATACAGTATAAAGAGGAATAGATTGGGGCTCATTTATTCCAGCAATAGAGACATCCAGTCATAACATTCCTGCCCTGATTATCCCATTTTACTGCTTCTGTGCCCTGTGGAGTTGCCCTAACTCCCAATGACTTCCTAGCTGGCTATCTAGACAGGCCTCCCACCCTATATCCTTTTATTCAATTCCTTTTTGTTTAAATTGAGTGAAATAGTTTTCTGTTGCTTACAACCAAAGGACCCACACCATTTTTCCTTCTTCATTTCTTATAGCTTCTCTAGATTGAAATAGGGACAATGTCTTTTTAGTAACAACTGAATGCCCTAACCTGATAACATTGCCTACCACATTCTGACGGCTAAAATTTTTTTTTTAAGAAATTGTTGAACAAATAATTACTATTCCAAAGAACAGCTTTTAGGAAGCATTGTTTTCAAAAGCTATTTTCTTAAGGAGAAAGATCATATTTAATGGTACTCGAGATAGATAATATCTTAAATCTGTTGTAACAGAGTAAACTGGAAAATGTTTGAGATGAGGCCTTGGAATTTAATGGTGGTGTACTGAGGTTGTCCATGGTTTTAGTGCTGAGTGAGCTACTGTATAACCAAATAACCTTTTTCATTCTACAGGTTCAGGGCTTCTGTCCAACACTGAGGGGTTGGACCTTGTCATTTCTTAATTACCTTGAATTTGTTCCCAATAGTACCATAAAATATATTATCCTAAGGCCCTCGGGCCACGGGCCACTAGGAACAGAGGCAACTGGAATTTTACAAGTTAACTCCTTCAGAGAGAGGGAAGCCGAGGGCCATTACTCGGCTGTACACCACGCTAGGGTCACTACATCTGTTGGCACAGATTGCTCGCAGGCCCTGGCAAGGGAGTCTAGGGACGAGCAGATTGGGTTCTGTGGTGTCCGTCGCAGTGGGCGCCACAGCTGTAGCTACCGCCTGTGACTCAGCGGCGGGCAGCCAGGTGTCAAGAGAGCCGGAGTGGAGCTGGAGGAGGAGGGGGACTTCCGGGAGCGCGAGCGTGCACGAGGGCTCGGCGGGGGCGGGACGGGGAGCGCGCGCCGCGCAGCAGCGGAGGGGGCGAGGGGAGCGCGGCGCGCGGGCTAGCCCGGGCGGGAGGGGCGGGGCCGTTTCGGCGTCTGAACCCGCCCAGGGAGCCGTCTTGGTGCTTCTGGGGCTGACGCGACAGCCCAGACAGAGTGAGCCGGCCGTGCCACCTGCAGTGCTGGCTATTGCTTTTTATTTACTAGGGAACACCGTTTCCCGGCAGGAGAGGCCGGGAGCGTGCAGGCGGCGCGCGCGTGCGCGCGCGCGCGCACACACACACACATACACACACACACACACACACACGCACTCACTGACACAAACGCTAGCGCGCTTGGTCTCCACTACCACAGCGCAAGTCGGCAGAGCGAAGCTGCTGCAGTTTATCTTCACCCCGTCTTCGTGGGGCGAAGCAGAGCCATTGTGCATCGGGGAGAGCCCGGTGCCTGCGCTGCTGCCTCGGGTACAAAACCAAGCAGACCGCTCACCCCACCGGGTAAGCCAGACCCTTTCCTTGAAACCTGTTTGGGGTTGGTGCCTGCAGACCCGAGGGAGAGGATGGGAGGGTGCTGGTGTGCCAGACGGGTAGAAACCTGGAGTTGAAATTTTAGGAGCACGCATCCTCTACCAGCGTCGTCTAGTGGGAGCAGTTACAACTCGGGTTACTTGTCCGCCAACCCTGGAGTTGCTTCCTCCCTGTCTTTCCCCCAGCTCAGTGTGCACTATGTTCCTTGGTTGCCAAGGAGACCTGCTTAAACATCAGTCTTGGGACATCGGTTAAAAGAACTGGTTTCTTAAATGATGCTGTTATGTGTTTTGATTTTTAAAATAAAATATACACGGAGGACCTCGTGGCAATTTAGCATTCGTTAATTTGCGTTTAGGCTAGTTTCATTCAACTTCAAGAAAACCCGTAATTGCACTATATGATATGCTTTAAAGAGGACTCATCAAATGAATTTTTCAACAGATTGTGCCTTGAATCATAAATTATCCTGTTCTGGTGATCTTATAAAGAATGGTGATTCCAATTTAAAACCCTTCTCCTCCTGTATTTCCAGTTCTGACTTGCAGTTGGCTTAGGGATGATTATCTTAACAATTAAAAGCAGATGATTTTATTGTGGCTCCCCCACACCAGGATGATTTTCAGTTGTAAATTGACCAGAACAAGAGTACGCATCTGTGAATTCCTAACAAGTTACCGTTCATGGTGTGCATCTATGCTAACATTTCTGTATCTACTGCCTTGTTACTAAATTATAATTCTTCCCACCTCTGCTCATTTCTGAGAATATTTTGTTTTCTTTCAAACCTCTTGTTGATTTTTTGAGCTATATCTATGTATTGATAGAGACAATGTACATATAAAATATGTGCAATGTCATAATACTCCATTCTAAGCTTTTAGAGCTCATATTAAAAATGTGGATTTTCTTCTGATGTACTGGATCCTTTACTAACACACTAATAGAGCCCTCAAGAAGATAGAGCCCTTATTTCACAGGATCCCCTAATACCTTGGCTGCCAATTTTGTTTTGAGGCCTTCATTTCCTAGTGGGTAAACTTGTAACCCAGCTCTTGAAGTCATCAGCAATCCAATAATTAATTACATTTTGCACTGATTTTATGCCTTCATCACAAATAGAAATGATTTAGTATAGATTCATTGTCGTTAAACAGTTCATTTTGTTTCTCTTTGATACCTCTTTTCATCTTTTCTACCTCTTGTTAAATAATGCAAAGGAAATAATATTTTAAATTTAGATTTTAAACTGTCATATGCGATATAATAATATGAGGAACAAGGAGGCTAAATAATAACTGAGGTGGGAAAAGGGGATTTATGCAACTCACAGAGTGCTGGGAGATGAATAACAATGATGAATGTTTTACATTATAGTTTACAAACCACTTTTTATTAATTTCTTTTTTAATCCTCATAATAACAATGAGGTCAAGGAATTATCCTTAATAAATATAAAACTTAGGGATCCAGAGCTAGTGTTGCGGAAGTGTTTTCTGGATCTGTACTTTTTGCCTTTAAAAATATGTGTCTGTATGTAAAATGTGTGCAGGGGTTTGACAAGTGCGATAAAGGGGCCGAGCAGGCCCGCTGAAGGGGCAGGGACAGTGGGCTGTGGACTGTAGACTCTGCAAAAGGCAAACCCTCAGAAGGAGGGTTTCCTACTCTATGGGAGCTGAGTGTTGCTGTCCAGCTCTAAAACCATGGCTTTTCAAGAAAAACTGAAGCTTTGAATTTTTTCATGTGAAATGTTCTTAATTTTAAAAATATGTCTGAGCCACATGTGGCCTGTGTGCGATCTCCTGGTTTGCAAACCATAGCAACTGCGGTGTCACCCAATTCTAAGCTATTATTTTCTAATAAAATACTAAAGAGTATCAATACATCCATTATTATAATGTTGATCAGGAATTTTCTGGTTTTAATATTAAAGTCTAATAAATGTTCTACATTGTTCTTCAGTAAACAGGTCCAAGTTTGTTTCTGAGGTTTCCTGCATCTCTTTGTTATACTTCAGAGAAAACAAAGCATGAAGTGCTCCAAAATAGGAATTTTAAATCTGGTGAAACCAAAGCATTTATAGTTTACTACCTTCTGACTTAAGTTTTTCTTGGCATAGAGTTAAGAGGTATAGAAAAGTTCAGTTGAACATAGTTGTCCCTTTATATCCACACGTTCTGTGAACTAATTGTAGATCAAAAGTATTTGGACTTGATCTTAGCCAAAGGCTGAGAACACTTGATTCCTAGATTATCTTTTTTAAGGGGAGATAGGACACAATGGCTACCTTTTATTTTCTGTATATAGCGTAAGGATATCCCACAGGGAAGACCAGAACAGAGATTCATTATAGAGTTAAACAGCCCATTGACTTTTTCTATGGCTATCTTGAATAAAAGAGCTCTTTTTCAGGCTTATAATCCCTGAAGAATATTATTCATCAGCCAACCAAAGCATAATAATGAAAAATCATATATGAAGAACTAGGTGGACATTGTCAGCTTATTCAGCTTCCTAAAACCTTGAAAAAGGATAAAGAAAGCAAACGTATTCCATATTTTGTATGAATCCTCAGTGCAGAAGAAGGACCAGTGGACAGAAGTTCTAAGATGGAAGATTTTGGCTCTCTGTAAGCAAAAACAGATTGCCTGAATAGAAAGATCTTAATTCATTGAATCTTCTAAGCATTTGGACTGGTTGGACTGCTTCCTGTGGGTGAGGTACACTATTCTACTGATGACAAGTGACCAGCAAATCTCGCAGATATTTTTCAGACCTAGCAGAAAAACTGCATTCACATAGCACAGATAAACAGCTGACTGGGAGCTATTGATCTATCCATCCATCTATCCATCCACACATATATGTTATTACTCATACTATTTTTTTCTATTTCATTGAGTTTGGTTTTTATATTTGTCAGTTATTTCTTTCTATTTTATTTTTCCTTTGTAGGCTTTAAAAATAATTTTATAGGCTATACAAATTTATAACATTTAAAAACTATATATTTGCCTGTGATTACAGATATATTACATAGCATAGGTTTAGATATGAGGTTTTCTTTTTGTTACTTTTTAAATAATTTCTAAGTTCAATGTTGATTTTCTTTCTGATTTGCAACCTATATCAAAGAATGTTTATTAATTTCTGAGTGATAAATGTCTTTCATTTTAAAAAGTATTTGAAAAAATGAGTCTGTATTAAATATGTACAGACTTTTTTCTGGTCATTATTCCATAAACAATATAGTATAACAATTATTACATGGCATTGACATCTTATGAGGCATTTTAAGTGATCTAGATGTAATTTAAAGTGTATAGTAGGATATGTATATACTATATGCAGCAATTATGCCATGTAGCATAAGGTATTTGAGCATCTGTGAATTTTGGTGTCTGTTGGGGTCCTGGAACCAGTCCTCCAAAGATGACTGAGGAATGACTGCACTTCATTGTAAGAAAAGGCAGAATAAAAGTTGGTTAGAAAAAGGAGCATCTTGAGCTGTTCAATGAATACCTATTATTAAGGCATTAAATAATTAGTTAGAACCCTCCTCAAAATACTTCAAATGGCAAAGGGACATTTAATTCTAGTACCCTGGCCTAGAAAATGCTATTTACTCCTTAAAATCATCTTGTAATGAAACAAATACCATTTGAGAAGCTGCCATGTTCTCATGTTTCTTGTGTTTCTTCAGAGATGTCAGTGGAAGCAGGGAGTCAGAAAAGAGTATTGTTTTATTTATGTTGTTTCTTTTGTGGATTCAGAGAGATGTAGTTTAAGAAGGGAAAAGCCAAAAGATGTGAACAGTGGCTTCCAATGGCTCTCTTATTCTAAAATCACCCTCTGGGAGGATGCTTTGGTAGTTAAAAGCATTTCAGTTTTCATTTCATGTGTACACCCTTAGTAAACAGCTAGGCAGGTGTTAGTTAATACTGTTGTAACAAGCAAGCCCTGGTACAGTGGAGATATTGGCTGTGCCTTTCAAGGATTCAGAACAAACATATCGCTTCTGGTGGTATCCTTTTTGAGCTCCTTCTCTATACTAGCTTGTTTCCATCAGTTTCTCACTGAGTTCACAATGTCCTTATAAAGTGGGTATCTTTTTTCCATTTTACAGATGAAGAATCCAATGTCATGTAAAGTTAAATTGGACGAATAAAATAAAACTGTAAGCATTAGCCTCTCTTTTTACTGCACACATCTTCTCTGCCTGTTACCTCATGGAGATTGTAGATGAGTACATAATGTGATTTTGAGGGAGTCATGTGTTCTACAACAAAAATATGATTTCACTGAAGCACAGACACGGAAGATAAGAAATATTCTGACTCTGGAGATCAGTTAAATCCTATGTAAGAGGCAGATTAATGCTGGGTTTGATGATTGGGTCTGATTATATTAAATGAAGATTCTTTTATCTATTACATGAAGATTCTTTTACCTATTGAAAGATGGGAGCCTCTGCCAGACAGTCAAGTTGGAGTTAAGAGGATAATGCTAGTGATAGCTGATATTGATGAGCTAATTATAGCTAAAGTGATGACGACAGCTATGGGAAAAAATATGATCTCCAAAGTGGAGTGCAGCAAGAAGATAGAACTGGGGTAGGTGAGAAAGAATAGAGGAAGACAGGTTGGTAAGAGAGACTAGGAAAAGGCTTGCAGACCTAGAGGAGAATCTGGAGAATGTAGTACTAATTCTTCTGAAAGATCTGAAGATAAGGACAAAGGACAAGCCATAGATCTGGTACACAGGAAATATAGTACCCATGAGCTATTATGGTGTATCTATATTTTTAACATCCAACAGCTGTCACATAATTTGCTTTCACAAAAGCACTTTTGTATGAGAAGAGACATACATAGTTATTTTATGTGAATTCAGTTGAAGTGGGAAAATATATGGATATTCAGAAAGAGGAATAGAAATTTTGGAAAATTAGATGATAAAAGATGTAATCA